GCGTTCCCTTTTCCCTCTTCTCACGCGTTTCATAAATGGGCGTGTCACTTTGCAATCTGCGGCGCGCCCACGTTTTATTGAATAAAAAAAAGTTTTATCGGACTAATTAATAATTCATCCATAGAAAATGTAGAGAAAATAATTGCGGTTTTTTTGAGCTAAAGAACTCCTAGAAATGTCAAAAACTGAAAGAGGAGATAGATTTTTTCTGTAAAAAACTTTCAAAAATGACCATTTTTGACATTTTTTTCTTCCGGAAAACGACCATACATGAATGTATAACCACTAATTAATTTTTTAAGAATCATTTGAATCATCTTCAATCACCACAAAATCAGATAAAAAATTCTGAAATTATGGTTTTAGACCTGCAATTGTGATCGCGTCAAACTTTTTTTCTGTAGATCAAAAACTAATTTGCAGTTCGGAAATGTTCTGTGGGAGAGCGTGTTCTGTGAAATCATAAGAAAGAAAAAAATAGCAATAGAACATGGGAATCGACTCAGACAAATTTTTAAAAAAACATACAAGGGAATATTTATTTAAAAAAAAGAAAAGGAAATTGAATGAACTACCTATTACAAAAACTACAAACTACTCGAAACTTTCGGCTTTCTCAAAAAAAGCGTGTTGAATGCATTAATAAATTGATCTACCGTAAAATTCGAATCGAGATTCTTCGCAATTTCCACCAAATTTTTCATCGCAAGTGTGGGGCAGTTTGAAAATTCATCAATATTTCCGACTCATAAATATAAAAAAATCTCGTCAATCGACTCTTGCCGATGTGAATAACATGCGAATCCGTTATTATTCGTTATATAGGACTTTGCCTGCTCAACAGAATGAGTGCCACGTAGAATGCATCCAAACATAATCACCATTCGAACACCCTTTGAACGAATATGATATGATTCCGAATAGTCTCTGGACATGTGACAAACTTTGCAAATTCCTCTTCTTGAATTATTGTCTTTCCTGAAATTTTCAATTATTAAAATTATCGATTTTCACGTTGACTTGCATCAAATATCGGTTTCTTCTGACGAATGAGCGCATAACGTAGTCAGATGGATTTAACGGTAAATTCAAATTATCGTCAATATCGTGAATAATCTTCTGAATATGAGAAACGCAGACATAGTTCGGATTCGTTCCCATGAATAATTCAACATTGAACATTTCAGAAAGCACGAGTCTATTTCCTTCCGAATTTTTTCCTTCCGAATTTCCCGGTATCTTCACTCTGCCGTCCATATCGTGAATAATCTTTCGAATATGGAAAACACAACCATAGTCCGGATCCGATCCCATGAATAATTCAACATTGAAAACTGCAGTAAGTATAATCATATCGTCCTCTAACCTGATCAACTTCAAAGAATTTCTTGGCATCCTCTTCTGACAAACTTCGCATTGAAAAGTATTGGCTTCTTTGGACACCATCTCTATAGGATAATCACATTCTTTCGGCTCCGGTTTGACGTCTTCAAAAAAATCGATCGTCTCCGTTTTGATTTCTTGTTCGTGGAGATGTCCAGGTTTCGGTTCAATTTCTTTTTGTTTCATTTCGATGTATTCACCATTTTTGAACGTAAAATTACAACTTCGATGACTTTTTCTTTGACTATAGCGTCGTTCATCTGGAAATTCTTCAAGATTAAAAGTACAAAATAACGAAAAATCGACTTTTTTTTCTGTCGGACCGTACGTTCTGTGAAAATTTGAGAAGAAAAACAATCGAGTTGCATAACAATAGAAAGTGGGAATTGACCCAGATAAACTTAGAAAAAAAGACTGTGGAATATTTATTCAACAAAAACAAATTGTGCAAAAAACAACAACAATCACGAAAACTACAAACTACTCGGAATTTTCGGCTTTTTCAGATAAAGTGAGTGTGATGCAAGAATGAATTGATCTACTGTAAAATTCGAATCGACACTCTTCGCAATACCCATCAAACCGTCCATCGCGTGTATGGGGCATTTTGAAAATTCCTCAATATTTCTGACTCCCAAATGCTCAAAAACCATGTCAATCGACTCTTTACAATGTGAATAACATGTCATCCCATTGGTATTCGTTATGTAAGAAATTGCTTGATCGATTGAATGAGTGCCACGTAGAATGCATCCAATCATGATCACCATTCGAACACTCTTGGAGCTCACTGTATACAATCGAGTGCAGTCTTCAATTATGTGACAAACTTGGCAAGTACGACTTCGTGTTTTCTCTTTTCTAAAAATTTCAATTGTTTTTCGTTTTTATTGTTTTACTTGCATTATATATTTGTTTTTGGTGATGAATGAGCGCAAAAGTTTTTCATATGGAGTTTTTGGTAACTTCATTTTTTTGTCATTATCGTCAATAATCGTTTGAATATGAGAATAACAGACATATGATGTCCTTGTCCCCAGAGATCCTTTAATTTCGAAATTTTCCGACAGCACAATTTTATCCTCGTCCGACTTGACAAATTTCAAAAGATTTCTTGGCATTCTCTTCTGACATATTTTGCATATTAGAGTACTGAATTCCGTTGATAAATTCTCAATTTTAGAGCCACATTCTTTCGGCTTCCGTCCGACGTTTTCGAGAAAATCCTCATTTGTCTCCGTTTTGATTCCTCGTTTCAGAAGTTTTTCAGACTTTTGCTTATTTTCTTCTTGTTTTAATTCGACGTATTCACCATTTCTGAACGTAAAGTTGCACACTTCTTCGATAACTTCTTCTTTGACAATAGCCTCGTTCATCTGAAACTTTTTGAAAGTTCAAATAGCAAAAAACCGATTTTTTCTGTTGAACTGTCTCAAAATCGAGAAATTTTCTAGAAAAATGCAGCTGTTCATTCAAAAAACTCGAAAAAAAATAATAATTTGTGATTTGCTCGGCAAATCTTGGGTCTTTTCGTACGCAAACACTGATAGTGTACTTTTTTGCAAACAGTAGCCCGGTAGGAGCCGCGCACTTTTATTTGGTTTTTTTCGGGTTTTTAAACCTGTTTTTAGAGAAAGTTACGATTTTCATGCGTTTTTATTCAACTAAAATTGTTTTATCCCGTTTTAAAACCAAAATAAAACAATTTTCCAGTCAAAATGAGCGAAAAAACGAACGAAAAATCCTCGCTAATGGCTCCCGAAGAAGAAATCAGACTGAAACCCCGAATCTCGCTGTTCAGTGGCTGCACAATCATTATTGGGGTGATTATCGGATCAGGAATTTTCGTATCGCCGAAAGGAGTGCTTTTAGAGGCTGGAAGTGCTGGAATGTCTCTTTTGGTCTGGCTAATTAGCGGTGTTTTCGCGATGATTGGAGCAATGTGTTATTCGGAACTTGGGACCTTGATTCCGAAGTCCGGAGGAGATTATGTCTATATTTATGAGGTATTGTCGAATTAAAAAAGTGACACCTGAGAATTTGAAAACTTTTGCTTTTTTTGATCTACGAAAAAGTGCGGCAGAAACGTAATGCTTTAGAATTTCGGCTCGTTCGAGCTACTTTCGCGTTTAAGTTTAGTTTTTTGCTGAAAAATAGATTCTAGAGTTGCTAGCGATCATTTTTATACCAAGAAATCAAAATTTTGTTCAGAAAATCCCACTGAATTCCCATAAATAAATTTGTTATCTACAGTATCCGTTTTCGCTCCGCCCCCTCGTAAATCGAAACGAGCGCCGTCTCCGAGGTTTTCAGGTGTCACTTTTTTAATCCGACAATAAGGAGTTTGATTTTTGGAAAATTTAAAAATAAAAACGATTTTTCAGGCTTTCGGACCTCTCCCATCATTCCTCTTCCTCTGGGTGGCTCTTGTGATCATCAATCCAACTTCCCTGGCAATCATCGCTATCACATGTGCCACATATGCTCTGGAACCCTTCTTCTCCTGCCCAATTCCTCCCTCAGTTATCAATATTTTCGCCAGTTGTATCATTACAATTCTCACTTTTATTAATTGTTTGGATGTTCGAATGGCGACTAGAACTAATGATTTTTTCACTGTCGCCAAGCTCCTGGCTCTTTCCTTAATTGTGGTTTGTGGTGGTTATTGGCTCTCATTGGGACACGTGGATAACCTAGTAATGCCTGATGTAGCGGAGGGAACTCAAACGAAGGTGTCTTCGATTGCAATGGCTTTTTATTCGGGAGTCTTCTCGTTTTCTGGATTTTCATTTTTGAATTTTGTGACAGAAGAGCTAAAAAATCCGTTCAGGTGGGGGTTTTGTGCAGGAAATTGTCGAAAAAAAGCTGAAATTTTTCAGAAATTTTCAAAAAAACCGATAATTTTCAGAGTTTTTCGAAAAATCGATAGTTTTGAGATATTTTTAGATCTAATTAGAAAATTCGAAGATTCTCAGAATTTTCTAAATAAAATTCGATAATTTTTCGAAAAAATCGGAAATTTCCAGAATTTTTTGAAAAATCGATAATTTAGAGATTTTTAGAAAAGTCGAAGATTTTCGGAATTTTCCAAAAAATTCGATAATATTCAAAACTTTTCAATTTATCGATAATTTTCAAAATCTTTCGAAAATTCGATAAAAATAGGAAAAATATTCTCAAAATTTTGAATTCCCAGAAACCTCCCACGCGCCATCTACATCTCCATCCCAATCGTCACAATTGTCTACATGCTTGTGAATATCGCCTATTTTTCGGTGTTGAGTGTTGATGAGGTTTGTATTTCTACCCGAAGGTCCCGTTCCCATTACCGTAACCTATAAATCTTATTAGTTTCTGGATTCATTTTTCTCGATTTTCTCGGGGAAAAAATCAGAAAAATCGAAGAAGAGCAGTGAAAAACGAAAAAGTCATTATGATTTTATTTATTTACGATAGCTCCGAATTTTTCGTACATAATATTTCTAGAAAGAATAATCAATAATCGATTTTCTCAGATCCTTGAATCCGACGCTGTTGCCATCACGTTCGCCGACAAAATCCTGGGATCCTTCGGCAGCAAGATCCTCATGCCTCTCTTCGTCTCATTCTCCTGCCTCGGATCGATAAATGGACTTTTGATCACTTGTTCCAGAATGTTCTTCTCTGGTGCTAAAAATAATCAACTTCCCGAGTTCTTTTCAATGATTTCTATCAATCAATTGACCCCTATTCCCTCATTAATCTTCCTCGGAGCCACTTCCATTATCATGCTCTTTTTCGGAAACGTTTTTCAATTAATCAATTATCTCTCCTTCGCTGACACCCTTGTATTCTTCGGTTCTATCGCTGGTTTAATTAAAATGCGACTCACTCTTCCCAAAAATCAGCTAGATGCCCGTCCTATCAAAATCAGTCTTCTCTGGCCCATTCTCTTCTTCTCCATGATTCTTTTCCTTCTAATCCTTCCATTTTTCCACTCCGACCCATGGGAACTCGTCTATGGGGTCCTCCTTGTTTTATCCGGAATCCCCATTTATGCTGCTTTTGTTCTAAACAAGTACCGCCCCGAATTCTTCCAATCCGCATGGATTCAGTTCACCCATCTCATTCAGAAGCTCTTTTATTGTGTTCCAGATCTTTCGGGATCTTCTTGAATTGTTGTTTTTTTTTTGTTTCTTATGACTTTGTTGATCTTTTCTGTTGTTTCGTTTATTTAAAAAATGTTATGTTCATTTGGGAGGGTGTCGTCGAATGCGATGCAAAAAGTACGCAAACACGCCGACGGAAACTTGCGGACCAGTCCAAAAAAATTGCGAATTCTGAGTTTGATTTGCATCTTGAAACTGTTCAGAAAAAATCGTTTTTTGAAACATTACGACCGTCAAAATCAGAACAGCAAGACTAGGCTCCTCCCACTTTGAATTTTCCCGTTGAACACGCGCCGGAAAAAAAATGGGCGGAGCCAAGTCGTTTTTGGGCTTATTTTGAAGATTTAAATGTAGAAATTACGACAAGAACAATCATTTTTAAAGATTTTACATTGAAAGTCTTAAAATCAGAAATTTCAGAAAGCGATGTCGTCGGATTCTATTCAAAGTACGCAAACACGGCGACGGAATATTGCGGACTTTTAAAAAATTAACAAAAAAACGATTTATTCAAAAATTTACAGCTTCTCTATAATATCGACGCACATATTCGTCGTACATTTTCTTGGGAGTCGTTAAATCAGTATTCTTGGTGACAAAATAATAAAAACAACAGAAAAAGTATCGTTCAGTAATCGAGCAGAGCACTTCGGCAGTCTTCATGACATTTGCCACGTCGACCGGAAAACAAGAAGCCAAATTATTGATTTCTTCGATTTTCAGAACTGTATAAATGTATCGGACGGCGTCGCCAGCGTGTTCCCGACAAATGTGAATCCGGTTTCGAATGTTTCCTGGGTTGAAATACACCGAAGATTTCGAATTTTTGAGTGTTCCATTCAATAGACAACCCGTTAAGACAATGATTTTCTCTTCTTTCGATTGAATTGCGTCCATTCTGGTGGCGTCATCGATTTTGAAACAGACTGCGCAGACTTGTCTTCCTCCAGTGTAGTAATGGGGTTTTCGAGCGACCTGAGAACATTGCCGCGGGACCTGAAAGCAATTCTTTGAAAATTTTGAAAATCTCAATTTCAAGATTTTTAGTGTGCTCTCAACGTTGCTCTCAGTGTATTTGTTACATGAAGACCTTCAAAATGAGCCCAAACACGACTAAGCTCCGCACACTTTAAATTTCCCGACGCGTCGCGGTCTTGCGTCGCGTGTCGGGAAACTCTAAGTAGGCGGAGCCTAGTCGTGTTTGGGCTCATTTTGAAAGTCTTAATGTGTCAAAAGCTGTAAAGACAATAGTTTTCAAATGCGTTTGCACTGAAAATCTTAAAATCTGATTTTCGAAAATATTGGAATTTTTTTCCGATTTGAAGTGTAAAATCTTTGATTTGAAGTGTAAAATCTCCTGTTTTTATAGTTTTTGCTAGATCATACCCTTCCAAATGAGCCCAAACATGACTAGGCTCCGCCAACTTCGAATTACCGTGAGCACGCGACGCCAGACCGCATCGCGCCGAAAAATGGGTGGAACCTAGTCGTGTTTGGGCTCATTTTGAAGGTCTCAATGGGACAAATTCGGTAAAAATAATCGTTTTTGAGACAAAAAAGGAAAACAAAATTTTGGAAAAATTTTTTAAGAACATTTCAACCTGAAAAAAGCGATAATTTTACCAGATTCGTCGAATTGCAAACGCCAGTTCTATCCTTGAAATGTGTGAATTTGTATAAAAATTCAGTCTCCGTCATTTTCGCTCCCAACAAATCAATAACATCCATTAGCTTTTGCATCGCAAACGGATCGGCTAAAATTCCAAAAAATTTGCTTGCAATCTGTTGAAAATGGGCGATACAAACGAATTTCGGACATGTGGATGTTAGGAACTTTTTCGCTTCATTAATACCACATTTTTTCAACAAAACCCATCCGACCATCACCAGAAATTCGTCAATTTCCGGACCAAATTCCACGATGGTCTCTCGATTTCCATATTTAAAACACAGCGAACAATTTCGCGAATTTTGGCCTTTAACCGGTACTTGCGCCGGCACTGATGCATAGAAATGCTGGACAAAAAGTCGAAAAAGTTCCAAAAAATCGAATTTCGCGATGGAATTCAGCACCAAAGAGTGGACAGTCAACATCAATTGATTAATCGATTGCATTGAACATCTTGTAATATCTTGAACATGTTTAATTCCCAAAACTTTGAAAATTTCCACAATGGCCACCGAAAAATGGACCCGGCAAACTAGGGGACTCTGATTATGGGATCTCATAAAAATTCTGGCTTCTTCTATCGATTTAATTTCTCCACGTAGCAAATTTCCAGTCATCAAAATCAATTTTTCATCGATTCCCACTGTTTTCAACTGATTTAGAGCAAAGAACTTCAGACAAATCGAACAACGACTGATTTCTGAGAATTTTCTCGATTTCGGAGCAGCTTCTGGCGCCAAAATTGGCGGTCTGGAACAATTATTGATTTTATTGATTTTTGCATAAAACATTTTTAACTCTGTGTATTCTTCCTCTACTTCATACTTGATAAATGGCTCATTGAAGATTGGGTCAGGTCTGCAAAAAAATCGATAAAAATTCAATTGTTCCTAATCGCTAACTTTTCTTCTTCCCAATCTGGCTCCTCGATTTTCGGTTTTTTCATATGCGGCTCTTCGAATTTCACATCGCGCTCCATTATAATCTGGAAAATTTTAAGATTTTTTTTGCTAAAATACGCTGAAAATTGACCGAAAATAGTGTGAGAAATGTTAGAAAATATTTTGTGTGCCTCGTTACGATTACAGTCACCTAAGCATTTCGCGGTCAGGCCAGAAGATTTAAAATTGTATGCACCTTTGAAAAACTTTTTTTTCGCTTTTTCACAAACGTTTTCATAGAAAAATCAAACAAAAAAGACAAAAAAGGAAGATTTATGGAAAATTTTCACACAACTGTCGTCAAGTAAGGTGAAGTACGCAAGAACACCACGACGCCAAACGAGGGTACAATGAATTCGAACTTTCCCGAAATCGAACTGTCCCGAAATCGAACTCGTTCGAATTAGAACTGTCCCTTTTTCGAACACGCCCAGAACAGAACAAGAACAGAATCGAACTGCTACAAATTCGAACTGTGCGGTGTCGAACTGTCCTGGATTGGAACTCTGTTAACAACAGGGCGCGCTTGCTTTTTTAATTATTTTTGTCAACAAATTTTGCATGTTTTCTCCAGAAAAGAACTTTTTCACTTATTTTGGATGTTTTGCGGATTTCTCTTCCCGTTTCGAGAATATAAACTTTTACAGAAAATGGCTCCTCGTAAAAACAAGCCGATCGTCCAAGTTCAAGGATATGCAATGCGATTCAAAAAAAAAAGAAAAAAATGGAACAGAGCTTTTTTACTGTGTCGAGCGGTAAAAAATTGCAGCATTACTATAAAACAATATTTTTTCCAGAGAAAGACGAGCTCGATGTGATGCAGCTTATCATTTCGACAGAATGAACAACACGTTCACTGTTAAAAAGCAACATGTGAGACACGACGAGAATTTTGTCAGAAGTGAAGTTAGTAGTAAAGTTAGCATACAAAGATGGATTGGAATGAGTTGAAACTAAACCCGAATTTCCAGGTCTGTTTCTACTCTATAACACCTAAATTGATTTTTTACTACACTTCAGGTGAATCGAAACAGAAAACTCACCAACGCATTGAAGGACGGGAGACCCATCAAGACGCTAATAAATCAGCCAATCCCGCCAAATATGCCTTTGACTGGTCTCAATTTATTAGACGCCATCTCCGACGCCCATTCTGTTTAAAAGTCATGAATTCTTTCTTTTTTAACACATATTTTCTATTCTCAAATTTTTTTTCCTCCCTGTATTCAAATAAAAATGCTTTTTTGTTGTAAAAATGATTTTTTCTGGAGAAAACTTGAAATTTTCAAGGGTAATGCAAGCGCGCTCTGTTGCTAACAGAGTTCCAATTCGGGACAGTTCGACACCGAATCAGTTCGAGTTGGAACAGTTCGATTCCGTTCTTGTTCTGTTCTGGGCGTGTTCGAAAAAGGGACAGTTCTAATTCGTGGTAAATGTAAACGCAATCCTAAGACAGTTTACTTTATTAAGGGATCCCTCATTACTCCGCATCGCTCATTCAAGGTCCTAGGTATACTAGTTGATGATCAACTTCAATTCGACAAACACATCAATCTTATTGCCTACTCTGCTAAACTCAAGTCCCGCCAAATACTGAAAACGTTCCAATCGAAAAACCCTTGTTTATATTTCCGTCTCTTCGACACCTACATTAGACCGGTCCTCGAATACGGTTGTGAACTTTTCGATCCATCCAATGCCACACTTGCCAATAAACTAGAATCTCCTCTTCGTTATTTCACCAGAAAAGTCTTTCAGAGATGTAATATGCCCTTCAATTCATACACCGATCGCCTATCCCAGTTCTCTATGCTAACCACCCTTCATTGCCGCACCCTTCGAGTTCTTCGTACCTATCACAAAATTGTTATAAACTCATACCATTTTCCCTCTATGTCGTCCTACATTCTTCCCAGCCAGTCTAACAGAGCCCCGTATTTGTTCAAAATCAACGGTCAATACTTTGACTGCTTCCTTCACAGAAACTTGTCTATGTGGAACCGTGTATGTAAGGTGATAAATTCTAAGCTCAGTCCGGTGGCGTTTGCTAAGCGAGTAGGGGCGATTCCTTATGATATTCTGATCCCTCCCACTTGACCTACAGGACTCTAGTCGGTCCGTCTGGTCATTTTACTTTTTTATTTGTACAGGTCCCATTTCTTGCCAAATTATCTATCGATTTCCCCCATTCATTGCAAATAAATATATTATCATTATTAATTCGAACGAGTTCGATTTCGGGAAAGTTCGATTTCGGGAAAGTTCGATTTCGGGAAAGTTAGATTTCGGGAAAGTTCGAATCCATCGTACCCTCCGCCAAACTACGGACTTTTCGGATTTTTGAGAAAAATTCGGCCATTTTTTAAGATAAAAACTTCATTCAGTGAATAACAAGAAAACAGATTGAAAAAATCAAAAATAAATCGATCACTCGTTCGAAAATTCGATGCTTTTTCGAAGAAGAGCCTGACAAGTTATCAGGTCCATTTCAGGAAAATCCGCCGCTATAATCGATCTGATATCGGGAATTGTAGCGATTTCAGAGAGACATTTGCTCTGAAAATGAAAAAAAAATATTTTAAAAATTCAAATTTTCCCTAAAACCTTCAGATTTTCCAAATTGAATCGAAGCGACAACTGCAACTTCTGTACCTTAGTCTTCTGCGAATTCTTCAACAAAAACTCCTCACATCTTCGAATAACCATTGGCACATCGTACATATCAGCCAAATGAAGGATTCCTGGGACAGTGTCATCTGAAAAATTTGATCTTTCAGCTTTTTAAGCGAAATTTTGCTACCATCAATAGAAGATTCTCCGTAAATGAGCTCCAAAAAGTTCTGGAAATCGTCTGGATCGATATCTTTCAGCTCGATTTCATTCTTTTGACATTCATCGAATTGTCCGAAAAATAGAGAATTGAAATATGAAGAGTGGAGAGCAAGGTACTGAAAACTTTAGTTTTTTACCAATTTTCGGAGAATTCAAAGGTTGAATTTCGCACCTTTTTTAAGACATAGAATTTGGTCTCTTTTACCATCAAAATCACATCAGAAAAGTCTTTCTGTGATTCGTCGAAGCTTCGAATTTTCTCTTTTTCAAATCCGGTCATTTTTAGAATTTTAACTTCAACTTGAAAGGTCAAAATATCATCGATCATATAATACTCCACATCTTCCCATAGAAAATAATCATTTCCGCCGAGTCTTTTCTTCAATAAAGACTGAGTTTCCTTCAGAACACGTTCCCATTCGCTTCTGCGACTTGGGTCATTAACAATTAAACTTTTATAAATTTCAATCCAATCCTTAAGGGATTGGTCAGAATGAACAAAGTCCAAGTTGGACGAATTTCCAAAATTATATTCATCACCAAAACTGTGTAACGTTGTTTTAGAGACTTCGTCGTAGTGATTAACCATCATTCTGAACTTTAATTTTGTTTCAACTGTCCATTTATCGACAGGAGCAACAGGCTCACAATACAAATAAAATTCAACATGACTTTCGTAGCGCTTTAGTCCCATATTCCTGAAAAGAAAAACGGATGATTCAGGTTGGAGATTGTCCGAACAGAAACTACCATTTAGCATTGAAATGCTCTTGTTTTTTGCTTTTCATCGAGTCGCCTTCTCTTAAATTCGCCACATTTTTGAACTCATGCTTCAGCACAAATCTCTTTTCTCGTTTCAGCTCCGTGTTGCTTTGATTCTGAAACTAAAAAGAAATTCTGAGCCACCTTTTTTTTTGTAAACCTTACATTCGACAAAATGGAAATTTTCGAAACCGATTCTTCCACTGATCGCAGCTTTTCTGTGATTTCGTCGAACTTTTGTTTATGTGAATTCAGTTCTTCAAGCACTTCATTCTTTTCTGATGTTTTTGGTTCTATTTCGCCTTGCTCGTTGTTAGCCATTTTTGCAGAAGATTCTAAAAAAATTGTCGAATGAGACAAAATTTGAAAAATAAAAAAATCTTGAAAAGCGAGAGAAAAATTAGTGTGAGCAAGAGAGTACTGTATGACAAAAACGCATGAAAGATGAAAACAATTTTTTACAGTAGTTGCTGCCGTGGGACCTTATTCTGATACAATATTCTGGATCTTCGAAACGAAAAAAAAATTTCAAGATTTGTTTATGACGACGTTGGCACACAATTGTCGTCAAGTACGTTAGAGGTACGCAAACAAACTTCGACGCGAAATTGCGGACTATTTGGATTTAAAAAAAATTGAAAGTTCAAAAAATTCTTGAATTCAAAATTACAGAGAATTGAGATTCAAAAATTTAAAATTTTGGAAATCGGAAATTCAAAAAGGCCGAAATTTCAAAATTAAAAATTGGAAAATTTTGAAATTTCAAAGTTCGGAAAATCGAACATTCGTAACTTCGACAAATCAAAAATTTTTTAAATTTAAAAATTCAAAAATTGGAAACTTTAGAAATTCGGAAATTCAAAATTTCATAAGTTCGAAAATTGTAAAATCCCAAAATTCTAAATTTTCTCAACGATAGAGAAAATTGGTTGTTTTTTTGATCACCAGACCGCCTAAAATTCAATTTCTCGTATTTATTTAAAAATTTGTTTCTTTGATGAAATTATGTCGTTTTTCTTCTTTTTTTGCATAACACTCCCATTCATTTTCTCCAGAAAAATGGGTAGCTACGAAGGTGAAACTCCAAATTCTTTGTTTCCCGGATATTCGAATAGCACTCAAACGTTTCTTTTCGATTTCAGTTTGAAAATTGAGTGAGTTAAACAAAAATCTCATTAGAGCGATCTTTCTTTGGCTCCGTGACATTTCGAAAGTGTGGTAATACGGGCGAATGGATGAATTTCAGACTATAAAAACGATTCTAGGGTTTTCAAATGTGCTTTTTCTGATAGAACACTTTTTAAAAAATCAAAAAACAATTAAAAGCCGAATTTTTTTTAAGATTAAGATGTTGGATTTTTTCCGAATTTCAGAATGTGTTCTATCAGAAAAAGCATATTTGAAAACTCTCATGTTGTTTTGGTAGTCTGAAATCCACCCATTCGCCCGTATTACCACACTTTCGAAATGTCCGCTTAAAGGTGGGGAGACATGAGAAAAATAATGTTCTCGAAATTCCTTTTAAATATGCCCCTGGAGGAGTTGAACATGTGGGGGCGATGATTGAGGGTGCGGCGCCGCTACCGACTGAGCCACGCGGGCAAAAAGAAAGCGGCAGCCCGATTGCATACATAAAGGCGAGGACGACAGATGTACGCAGAGTGACATTAAGCGTTGTACACCGTCACGGTAGAATGCATACCCTAACTCCAAGAAACCTCCGGAAAATCTCCTGTCCGCCCCCCACCTTTAAGCGATTGTGAAATGTCCCGGAGGCCTTTCTTTAGGCATTTGACCAAAACTTGGTCTACTGTGGACATGTTTTTAAGCTCAATTTCCGTTTTTATAAATTCCATTCAAATTGGAATTTTGAGTACGAAAAATATGAGAAAATCTGTGGTAAACATGTTTTTGATTACCATTTCATTGAATTATATTCTTTGGTTGTTGGTTACTGTATATATACGACATCTACAAACCAAAAATATTGATTCTTGGTAAGTGCGCTCTACTGGACTGGCTCGGAAAATTCAGAATTTCAGAACCTCGTAATTTCAGTTTTGCAGATTTTAAGAACTTCAAAATTTCAGAATTTCGGAATATCGCAATCTCTAAATTTTTAATTTTAAGATTTTCGGAATTTCAGAATTCTAGAATTTTCAAGTTTCAGAATTTCGGATTAATTCAAAATGTCAAATGTTCAGAAAATCAGAAATTCAAAATTTCAAAAATTCAGGAAAATCGAAACTCAAAATTCAGATATTCAGAAAATCAGAAAATTCAGAAAATCGAAAATTCAGAAATTCCGAAATTCAGAAATTCAGAAATTCAGAAATTCGAAAATTCAGAAATTCCGAAATTCAGAAATTTAGAAATTCGAAATTTCAAATTTTCAAAAATTCGATAATTATAAAATCCAAAAAAATCAAAATTCAATTTTGGAAAGTTTTGAATTTCAGCGAACCTCCCGCTTCTTTCATTCGTTTACAATTCCAATGCGTTTTTTACGCTCTTCATCTATTTACTTTTCATTCTGCCACGTGGCTTTCTATTGTTTTGGCAGTTCTACGATGGCTGATTCTGAAATTCCCGTTTAACTACAAACTACAAAAATTGGGAATTCCAAAAAACGGTTTTAAATTGATTCTGGGCACTCTTTTTGTCTCTTTTCCAATTAGTTTTTTGTACTACTTTCGATTCAAAGTTGCCGAATATCCCCCATGGATTCCCAATGAGTAGGTGGCCTAGAAATCCAAAAATAGTCCTCCTTCAAACTTCAGTTGCCTTGAATACCCTGCAAACTACAGTATACCGCGTTACGGTATGAAACAAAGCAGCCTATTTGAATATGGAAATTTTCTCATTTTTCGAGTTTTTCTGGTCAGCGATGCAATGTTCTCAAAATTAATTCCAACAGTTTTATATCCAATTTTATCGGTATTACTGCTAAATCAAATTAGAGCGGGGAAGAAAAATCAGGAAAGACTGGGTGCAAAGTATAATGAGTAAGTACGCAATTTGTCGTAATTTATAATGTAATTTTTTGAAAATTATCAGAAACGACAAAACCACATTTCTGATCACCTTGATGACGGTGAGCCATTTGATTTGTGATCTACCGAAAGGTTTAATATCATTGATTCAGTCATATTTCGTTTCGGCAGGTGGATTTTTGTGAGTGAATTTTGAAAAGTTAAAAAAAAGTTTTTTTTCTAAATTTCTTACTTTTCAGGCTTCTAATAACAAATCTAATCGTCTTATCAACCACCTTAGTCATATTTAACACTATTTTACAATGTTTCATTTGCTGTGCATTGTCTACAAATTATCGAAATACAGTAATCGAAATTGTTGGAAATTGTGGAATTCAAAGGAAGCACGTGGGTTCAGGCGAGGGGGTCAGAAAGCTCGCCCCAGCTAACTCGTAGACCAGCCGAAATTATCTAATTCAAAATGACACGTGGATTTCACGTGGTTATTTCTAATGTTTTTTAACGATACAGAAGGCTATGAATTCCTTTTTTTCGGTGAATACTGCTCCATTTACCGTAAAACCTCTAATAGAACGATTGGAAAATTAGGCGCCAAGCGACAGAATTTGAAAATTGAAAAACATTGTATTGCAAATTTGCACTGTTTTCAACCGTTTTTTCGCCAATTTTTCGTATTTTTCCGGATTTTTCGTCATTTTTTTCAGCCATGTCAGATTTCTCTCGCCTTCTACTAATTTCTACGGGCTTCCTCATCACCGCAATCACCCTCAAATCGTCCGATTCGGCACTAGCCAGGAAAAGTATGGATTTCGCGAAAATCGACGAGCAAGTTCAAAAAGACATCGAGAAGTCGTTCAGAAAAACACTAAGCCGACTTGGCGATTTCGTAATGGATTTGCCAGCGAAAATTGTGATACAAAGGCTGAAAAATGTCGAAGGAAACACATTCAACGACCCGTTTCTCGTCGGAAATTCTGGAATTTTTTTT